GTGTTCGTTTACTGATGTGTTTCTACTGCTAGGACAGTACCAGGCCTGAAGTGGGCACTTGAACACTTGCTAAATGAATGAAAATTCTGTGTGATCTGGTCCCTGCTCACTCTGCCTTCCTCTTTATTTTCCCCAGTCATTCTGGCCTTTTACAAGTTCAAGAAACATGTCAAGCTTGTGCTCTGCTCAATGTTATGTGGCAGCCTGGATGGGAGGGGAGTTTGGGGGAGAATGGATACATCTATATGTATGGCTGAGTTCCTTGCTATTCACCTGAAACTATCACAACATTGTTAATCGGCTATACCCCAATACAAAATAAAAAGTTCAAAAGAAAAATAAATAAATAAAAACTATAAAATAATTATATAAAGTAAGCCTGACCTCAGCAACAAAGGAAAAAATAATATAATTTAGCCATCTCAGACAAACAAAAAACAAAAAAATTTTCATATTGCTTCTTGGTATATGGCTCTGGATCAGAAAATAAACATGAATACAGAATGTTACCCAACATCTATAAAGAGACAAGATTTCTTGAATGAGGTCACCAAGAAGTTTTTATTTTCCCTCAAGAGAGATCATTCCATTTTTTTCCTGCAGTTGATAGAAGACACCTGATGAAACAGGAATCGTTTGGGTTCTTAACTGGAGAATCTGATGCACAGCCAGGAAGAAGAAAAGGCATCTCCTTGAGGCGTTCCTGGGACTCACAGCCCAGGCTGATCCGCTGGCTCCTATGATGCTGGCCACAGAGATTTCTGGGCCCGCCAACAATGGAGCCGAAACCGCAGACGGCGCGGCTCTGCCGTGGCTTCAGGCACTGGTGGCCGTGTATTGTGTTCTGTGGGCCTCACTGGTCTGTTCCAGGAAGCTGCCCGGGTTTGCTCTGAGCTGATTCCAGAGGCTGTACTCATTTCCCAGGGCTGCTGTAACACTGTCCCACCAACTTATTTGAATATATTTTCTCACAGTTCTGGACGTGAGAAGTTTAAAATCAAGGGGTCAGCTGGGCTCTGCTCTCTCTGAGGGCTCCAGGGGAGGCTCCTTCCTTGCCTTTTCCAGCTTTTGATGCTGCCCAGCAATGCTTGGCACCCCTTGGCTTGGAGCTGCCTTACTCCAATCTCTGCTTCTGTTGTCATGTGGCCTCCCCTGGTGTGTGTCCCTCTGACATCACATGGCTTTCTTATAAGGTCACCAGTCCTTGGATTTAGGGCACACCAAATCGAGATCAAAGCAATCAATCCTAAAGGAAATCAATCCTGAATATTCATTGGAAGAATTGATGCTAATGCTGAAGCTCCAATACTCTGGCCACCTGATGAGAAGACCCGACTCACTGGAAAAGACTCTGATGCTGGGAAAGGCTGAGGGCAGGACAAGAAGGAGGTGACAGAGGATGAGATAGTTGGATGGCATCAGTGACTCAATAGACATGAGTTTGAGCAAACCCTGGGAGACAGTGGAGGACACAGGAGTCTGGTGAGCTACAGTCCACGGGGTCACAGAGTCAGATACGACTTAACGATTAAACAACAACAATGAATCCAATATGACTTAACTTTTCTTTAAATAATTACATCTGCAAAGCCTCTGTTTCCAAATAAGGCCACGTTCCAAAGTTTCAAGGTGGCCATGAACCTTGTGGAGGACACTGTTCAACCCAGCCTGGTACGTGAGGCGGACAGATGACCGGTGTCCAAGAACAGCCAAAGCCTGTGTCCATCTGCCCCTCCATCAACAAGGACAGTTCCCTCTGACTGCGGCTTCTTCCTGTTCTGCAGAACTTGGGCCTCTTCACATGTGTGCTCCACGCGCCTGCAATTTAGACCATCACTCTCTCGTATCATTTGTTTTTAGATCTGGGGTGATTTTTATTGCCATTCAAATCCTTTCCAGCGTGCAGATCCTGATAAACAAGCAACAACAAAGCTCCATCTCACACTGGAGCTGCTCAATGGTGAGAGAATCTCAGAGCTTGGACTTCATGTTCAAACAGGGTCTTCCCTCATGGAGACATCAGTCTCGCAGCTGTGTTAAGAAGCAATGCTTTGTTAAAATCCTGGTTACACGGTGAGAAATGCAGCAGCCCACAAGAGCAGCCAGACCGTCTGCCTGGAGCGGCAGGGATATTTTGGGCGGCACATCGGGGGAGTTATGAATGGATCCGCTTCTCTCCCTACTCTCAGCTGTCAAGCCAGCAGTCAGGGCAAGCTGCTTCCTCCTGGGGCAGGAACGAGCTGGTTTTGCTGACAACATCTGTACACAGAAAATGCCAATTTCAGAGTGGGCTGGGTAGCAAAAGTATCAAGAGAACGGTGCCTCCAGAGACCAACTTGATCCTGTGAATGTGGAAACTGGAATGCTTTCCAGGGTATGAGAGCAGGGTTTTTTTTTTTCTCTCTGTGCATGATCTTAGTCTTGGGTGTTCACTGGAAGGACTGATGTTTAAGCTGAAACTCCAATACTTTGGCCACCTCATGTGAAGAGCTGACTCATTGGAAAAGACCCTGATGCTGGGAAGGATTGGGGGCAGGAGGAGAAGGGGACGACAGAGGATGAGATGGCTGGATGGCATCACTGATTCGATGGACATGGGTTTGGGTAGACTCCGGGACATGGTGATGGACAGGGAGGCCTGATGTGCTGTGATTCATGGGGTTGCAAAGAGTCAGACACGACTGAGCTGAACTGAACTGATCTTAGTAGCAGCATGAAGGATCCTTAGTTGCAGTATGTGGGGTCTTTTAGTTGCACCATCTGGAATCTTTAATTGCAGCATGCAAACTCTTACTTGTGACATGTGAAATTTAGTTCCCTAATCCGGGCCCTCTGTATTGCGGGCATGGAGTCTTAGCCTCTGGACCACCAGGGAAGTCCCACTGCAACAGAATTCTTGACCTCAGGGAACTGTGTGTGTACTGTCACCTGTGTGACGATAGCTTTTTTACTTCTTATGTGAGGGGCTGACACATCCCAGAAGTAGCAGGAGATGGCCGATTTTTCCCAATTAGAGGAAATGCTAACATTTCTGATGACGCTACCTTCTCACCCAATTCTGTTGACTTAGTTCATGCCCAATTCTCAAACCTGCAAACTTTTAGAGATATTGCCTGATTCTTCAGAAAATCTCTAAATATCCCATTTGGAGACCTGGCCTCTTCATTAATAAAGTGAGTATTAATGCTTAGGTACAATAGCAACAAGACATTAGAAATATACAGTGGAAAGTATTTATTCATCCAAAAAGGTTTGAATGTCAATATATTCTAGGTACTCTGCCCAGGAGAAGGAGACCAGGGTGCCAGGGTGAATGGGCTTTCTCTTTGGTCTGTGATCTACTCAAACCAAAATCAGGTGGTCTGCTCCTGCCTGGCCAAAACTGTTTGAAAATGAAACCCAAATCCACCCGCTGCCTACTTCACAGGGGACTGCTCTTTGTTGGGCGGGTCATGGGAAAGAATACCTTTTAGAGAAAAACATTCCTTTGATGGGACAGTCAGGAAAAGGGGCAGAGCTATTCTCAGGAGTTGGGTTCATTTGCTTCAGTCAGAGCCTCGCTGGCCATCAGAGAGATGCTGTCACCTTATCTAGCATGGGGAACAGAGACAGTCAACCCCGAGGGCCCAGCACGGACAGAAGTGGGATGATGCCTCACTAACCTGGCTGCCATCATGCACCAACCTCAATGCATTAATAAACTGACCATTTCAAGAGATCAAAAACAGGATCTCCAATTTCAGAGATGGAGGGAAGGGAAGGTCCTTTTGGAGAGATTAAGCGAGTGAGCTTGAAGCAGAGTGGCCATGCGGTACTGAGGAAATGGCTTTAGCTCTCGAACCAAAAGAACCTTCTTTACCATCTCTTCTCTGCCACTCAGTGGCTCTGGGTCCTTAAGAAAGCTCCTTTATCTGAGGTCAAGTTCCCTACAAAATGAAGATAAGCATAGAGTAAGAGTGAAAGAAAACACTGAGATATGGAAGTCCCTTGATAAAAGTATTGCTGTTAGTAATATACAGGACAAAGTTAGGCAATGTTAAATGACCAAATTCTATGATGCATAAAGCAGCATGAGGTAAGAGGTAATATCACAACATATTTACATGCAGTGTTATTCCCTGGGTTATTTCTAAAATGCATAGGGACCTCCTCAGTCCCTCAGCTTATGGATGGAAGGATCAATGACATATATACATGTGTATATATATTCATATATGTGTATATGTACATACATGCATATATATATGTGATTATACAATTAATAACATACTCAAAGTATACACAGGATGAGATTCCAATCATATTCCAGATGGAGACATACACACAGCAATAATTAATGCCTGATTTGAGGTCACAGGGTGTCCAGGTAGAACAGAGACCAATAGCATTAATAGTTTAGTTGTTGGTCCTGGCATCTTTATTTTAAAAATATTTATCTATTTGGCTGTGTCAGGCCTCAGGTGCAGCATGTGGAATCTTTGGCTGCAACACGCAGACTCTTAGCTGTGACATTTGGGATCCAGTTCCCCGACCAGGGATTGAAACCAGACTCCTGCACTAGAATCACAGTCTTAGCCACTGGACCACCAGGGAAGTCCCAGTCCTGCCATCTTTACACATTGGTTCTCAGAGAATTATAGTTTGGTAAAGATCCTTTTGAAATTGACTCACACTGACCAGAGCATTTTTGGATCTTTATCCTGGTGGGGGAGCGCCTTCCTATGAACTCATAACAGGGAAATTGAGATGCAGGGCCCTTCAAGTTCAAGCTGCTACAGAAGAACTCCATGCCCCATTCAAAGTCCAGGAGATGTAAGAGTTAGTGGAAAATAAGCCGAGCCAACTATTTCTCTTAAGGGCCAGACAGTAGCTACATTTGGCTTTGTGGGCCAAAATACGTGACAACTAGCCAGCTTGGCTATGACAGCACAAAAGCAGCCAGACACTCTGTAATTGAGGGGGAGTGGCCGTGTTTCAGTAAGACTTTATTTGCAAAAACAGGCACAGGCCGGGCTTGGCCTGTGGCACATACTTTGCTGATTCTTATCCTCATGGACCCTACATTCTGGGTGTAGGACAGAGGCAATAAACAAATTACAATTGAAAACAGATTAATCAAGGTAGGCCTGATTATGAGAGTGATTTTTTTTTCCTTAACAAAGATTTGAAGTTGGTGAGGGACTTCTATTTGGGAGAACATTCTAGAAAAGGGACAGAAGGCACAAAAGCCCTGAAGTGGGGAGAATCTGAGGGTTGGAGTGGATCAAGTGGTAAAACCTGGAGGAGGAGGAGGAAGGCAGGGGACTTACCTATAGGAATCCACGCTCCCCATGCAGGGACCCTGGGTCCGATCCCTGGTCAGGGAACTAGATCCCACATGGTCCAGCTAAGAGTTTGCATAACACTGCTAAAGATCCTGCATGCCATAACTAAGACCCAGTGTAGCCAAATAAATAAATATTTCAAAAATTTATGTTTTAAAAAAGGAAAGCAGAGTACAGATGACCATGAAGGCCACAGTAACTGGGGCTTTTATCCTAAGCAAAAGGAAACATTGGTGAAGATACCAGAAGGAGGTCCTGATGTCTGAGTTACGAAGATCATCGTTGGAAACAGATTATAAGAAAGCAAGAGGGACCACAGGCAGGCCAACTGGAGGAAGTTGCAGTAACCCAGGTGAGAAGCAAGGGTGGCTGGAAGATGCTATGAAGTCTGAAATTCTGATTATATTTTGAAGGTAAAGCCTAGATCTTCTCAAGGGTCCAGGTGGGATATTATGACCAGGAAGCTTTGTTAGAAATTTAATTTTGCAATTAACACATATTTAATACACAGTGTGCGAGGGTAAATAAAAGCAAAAATGTAGGGTCAACTTTGGGTGTATACTTCTGGCAATTGATATTTGACACTGATTTTCAGTTCCTTCCAGATTTGTATGACTTTCGTTCTCTATTCCAACTTACCATAGTGAGGATTCACCTATACTAAGTGGTTTCTGAGCAGTTTCTATTCTATAGAATGAATCTGATGTGATTCTAGGCTAGCTTCTTGATCCTATGGAGAACGCATCCCCATGTGTTCCATAGGCTACGAGTATGGTGCAGTGTACAGGTAACAGTGGTTAGTGAAAAAGGGATTCTGTGGTCAGATGGCCCTGCATAATACAGTACCTTTTCTGAGATTCCAAATGCACATAAAAATGGTTAAGTGTCTGCAGTCTTGAAGCAAAAAACAAACAAACAAGCAAAACCCTCCAAACAAAACCAAAAAGGTCCAGGGACCTCCTTAGTGGTCCAGTGGTTAGGACTCTACACTCACACTTCAGGAGGCATGAGTTCAATCCCTGATTGGGGAACTAAGATCCTGCAAGCTGGGAGGTGCAGTCACACAAAAAAGTACACAAGTCATTTGCATTTTAAACCAAAACCAACCAACCAACAAAACCCAAAAGAACAACTCTTTAACCTGAAGGTCTCTCCCCAACCCTAACTTTTACCACTTGCTTCCCCTTGCCTGCTTGCTTCTACCTTAACTGAAAAGAAAATCAATACACTCATTAACAGAACACTGAACTTCTAGTAAAGAGAAACACGCTCCTTAGAGATCTGAGAACCATTAGACAATGTACACAATCCTGCCCTGCCAATCTCACAAAGTAGTTGCAACAACGGAATACATTTATCTACACAAGACTAGACTGCAGTAGCCAGCACATGGGCAAGAGCAGCCTCCTACAAAAAGTGAAGTCCAAGGAAATAAGTCTCAAACAAGGAATAAAAAGATCATGGGTTCCCACACAGGCTTAGAGCCTTGGAGCAGAGGCAACCCCAGCAACAACCAAACTCATCCTTGTGCTCAAAGGGTCAGGCTATTTTTGCCATAAAGCTGCATTTATTTTGGAGAGAGTGATGTCACAAGATGGTGACACAGGTCTTTCACAGCTTCATTCCCCTCATGAGAACAACTGAAAGCTCTCATGGATGAGATGCCGCTGAGTAAAATCTAGAAAACAGGGGTAAGGCTGAAGCACCCTCATCATCACAGAGGCCCTGACAGGCCACATTAGAAGGACGAGAGGGGCAGCTACACGCCGACCACGCGTCCCTCCCCCAAGTCAGCACAGCACCACCTTCTGCCCTGAGTCTACGGTTCTCCAGTGGGGAAAGGAGAGCTGGGGGGACGTCCACTCTCCCTGCACTGTAGGGGGCTTCCTGGGGATTCCTACTCTGCTCTAACCTCACAGATAACCCAGGAATCTGTGGGGCTCAGCCACTGGGCATGTAAGATCTAATCAAGGAGTTCTGTAAAGCTGCAGGATACAAAACTGACATGCAAAACCCAGAAGCATTCCCATATAACAATAATAATGAATTATCTGAATAACAAATAAAGAAAATGATCCCATTTATAACAGCATCAAAAAAATACACAGACATAAATTTCAGTAAGTGAAAGATCTCTACAACTTAAAAAGACATTGATTAAAAAAAAAACTGAGGCAGACAAAAATAAATGGAAAGGTATCCCATGTTAATGGACTAGAAGGATTAATATTAGTTAGTGTTGGTTGCTCAGTCGTGCCCGACTCTTTGTGACTCCATGGACTGCAGCCCACCAGGCTCTTCTGTCCATAGGATTTTAATATTAAAGTGTCCATATTTACGAAAGCCATACACAGACTGAAAGCAATCTGTATCAACATTCCAAAGGCATTTTTTTAAAAACAGACATAGAAAACTAATCATAAAGTTGACATAGAACCACAAAAGACTCCAAACTGCCAAAGCAATCCTATGAAAGAAGTACAAAGCAGGAGGCATCACATTTTCTGATTTCAACTTTTACTATAAAGCTAGAGTAATTAAAGGGCTTCCCTGCTGGCTCAGTGGTATAGTACCTGCCTGCCAATGTAGAAGACGTGGTTTAATCCCTGGGTCAGGAAGATCCCCTGGAAATGGCGACTCGCTGTAATATTCTTGCCTGGGAAATCCCATGGACAGAGAAGTCTGGCGGGCTACAGTCCATAGGATCGCAAAGAGTTGGACATGGCTTAGTGACTAAACAACATAGTAATTCAGAGTATGGTACTAGCATAAAAACAGACAGACTGAACAACGGGACTGAATCAAGAGTTCAGAAACAAACCCAAGCATACACAGTCAATTCAAGTTTACAAGAGGGCCAAGAATACTCAGTTGAAGAAAAGACAGTTTCTTCAATGAATGGTGCTGGTAAAACTGATATTCACATGTAAATGAAGCCAGATTCCTAACTTATAACACCCACAAAATTTAACTCAAAATGTATAAACTTAAATATAAGACCAGAAATTGTAAAACTTCTAGAAAAAAACCACTGAAAAACAGCTCTATGATATAGGTCTTCACAATAATTTTTAAGATGATAACAACCAAAGCACAAGCAACAAAATAAACAAGGGTCACTACCTCAAACTTTAAAGCTTCTGCACAGCAAAGGAAACCATCAACAAAGCGGAAAGGCAACCCATGGAATGGGGAAAAAATGCAAGCCATTTGTATGATAAGGGGTTAATATCCAAAAGATACACTCACACAACCCAATAGCAATAAATCAAATAATTCAATTAAACAACTGACAAAACACCCGAATAGACGTTTGTTTTTCAAAGAAGATAGATGAATGACCAACAGGTACATGAAAATGTACTCAATATTTTGCTCAGGGAAATGCAAATCAAAATCGAGATCAGCTCACATTGGTTAGAAAGCCTATCATCAAAAAGACAAGGGAAAAAGTGCTGGAGGGGATATGGAGAAAAGGGAACCCTGGTGTACTGTTTGTGGGACTCTAATTGGTGCAGCTACTATGGATAACACTAAAGAAGTTCCACAAAAATTAAAGATAGAACTACCATATGATCCAGCAATTCCACTTCTGGGAATGTATCCAAAAGATGAAAATACTATGTCAAAGAGATATTTGCACCCCCACATCCATAGCAGCATTACTCATAATACCCAAGCCATGGAAACGACGTCGGTGTCCATCGATGGATGACTGGATAAAGAAACTGTGTGATATAAATGGAACATGGTTTGCCATAAAAAGAAGGAAATCCTGCCATTTGTGGCAACATGGATGGACCTTGAGGATATTATGCAAAGCGAGTTAAGTCAGACAAATACTGTATGATCTCATTTGTGGATTCTAAAAATTAAAACCAAATCAAAATAAAATGATAGGAAAAGAGATCAGGTTTGCAGTTACCAGAGGTGGGGAGAGAGGGTGGAAGAATTAGATGACAATGGTCAAAAGGTATAAATTGCCAGTTATAAATAAGTACTATGGATATCACGTAACACTGCTGGATTACATATTTAAAAGTTGTCAAGAGAGCAAAGTTCTCAATACAAAGAAATAAATTATTTTTCTTTTTGGGGCGTATTAATACGAGATGATAGATGTTAACTAAAATTACTGTACTCATTTCACCATATGCATAAGTCAATTAATTTATAATGTAAACCTTAAAGTTACACAGTGTTTGGCAAATGTATCACAATAAAACTGGGAGAATGAAATGCAACCTTTTGAATTGTATTTCGTTAATCCACTTATTGAGTAACCAAAAAAACTGCAGGAGAAGATGTGAAAATGCACTTTGATGATGAATAAAAAGAAAAAAACGGAAAGCCAACCTGAGATTTTATAGTACGCTCTGTACTTAAATATATAATCACATTTTCTGGGCTGCATAATACACCAATTCTATTTTGCAAATATACTCATTTAATATTTTCTGATTATGAAAATACACAGTATTACAGAGAATTTAAAGTACAGAATAAATATAAAAAAGATGATTTAAAACATTTTAATCTACCATAGAAATAATTTATCAGCCATAAAATTCCAGTCCATTTCCATTTTTCTGTACATAAACATTATAAACACATTTCCTTTTTTTCCACAATTGGAACCACACTTCTATAGTTTAAGTCTTTTTTTTGTTGTTGTTTCTTACTTAACTGGATAATATGATTATCTCCCTTTGCCCCTAGATATTGTTCAATGATTTTTAATATCTTCATAAAAGTTCATCATGTGGATACACATTAACTCTCCTTCCATGGGTGGGCATTTAGCTTTTCACCACATTTCCATTGTGTCTATAAACCTATAGAAGCATTTTTCAAACAGAGTTTTCTGTGTGTGCAACTCTGACCATTTCCTCAGGATAAATTCCTAGAAATGAAAGTACTGGGTCAGAGGACACAATTTTCAAGTTTCTACCACCTTCTGGAGAGAAATTTATGTTCCCAAGAGCAGTGTATAAAGAATGTTTATCTCCTACTACTCCTCCAGCACTTAATATTACCTTAAAAAATATATGCACATTTCTCATTGTTATGCATGTCTTATTTTTGCTTTGATTTGTATTTTTTGGATTACTAGTGAGTCTAGATGTTTTTCCCCCATTTCTTGAAGATTACTTTCTCTTTGTGAATTTATGTGTATTGCTCATATTTCTATCTAGAGTGATCATCTTTTAAAAAAAATTATTTAAGACTATACTGTGATAGTTTTTACTAAGGTTTTGTTGCTAGTTAAATTTTAGATGAAGTCTTTCCAATCAACAACAGTAGTTGTTCTTACTGTAATTTCAAGAGCTAAAGAAAAATCAATTAGAAAATTCAGACTGAGGCAAAGATGATACCTAGAAAAATTAGATCAACCAAATTTCCAAACAGGTGATGGCACCTGGGGATTCCTCTTCCCATGGCGAATGTTTTCTCAGGAAGTTATCCTGAAGCCAGAAGTATATAGACCTTTAGTAGTGACCTCTCTGACTCAAATGCAAAGTCCATCTCAGGATTTTTGGTTGGGTTTTTCTGTATTCCACAGGTCCTGGTCTCAGGGTTTCAACTGTAAGATGGAGAGGAGAAGATGCAGGGGTAGATACAGACAATCCACCTGAGAGTATGTTACATCTTCACACACCTTTTGAGACATTTCAGGCTTGGCAGTCTTTTTAGCACAAATGTTCTCCTTGAATTTGTTTCCATTGACGTGCATATCAACTGTAGGTAAAAACAAAGCTGCCTACCACAGATGTTAATCAATGATTTGTTGAGTGATTTTGCCACTGCAGTTTCTACTCTGGGCGTGGTATTGAGTGTGCACATTGACACGACTTCTTTGGCATCATCAAAGTCACTTAGAAAGATGCTCTCATATGAGCAGATTTTTCTGCAGTGACAAGAAACAGGCAAGTATTTTTCTCTCTCCGTTTCACAGCTCTCATCGACCAGCCACTGGCAGAAGTCACCATTCCTTCAGCTAAGAAATGCTGCTTTCCAAAATCCTTTGGCAAAATCTTCTAGAGATTTGTTTTTCTGCTTCTTCCTAATTTAGAAACAGTCTTCAAAGAGGAAAAAAAAAAAAAACAAACCTGACATATCAATGTGAGAAGAAATCAACTCATTTAATTCTGCATTTCTTTCACAGAAAGTTTCAGAATTTATCATCGATGACCAATAAATTGGACAAGATCATTGTGGGGTAAAAGTCAACAAGAACAGGTAGACCCCAAGATTCTTTTTTTTTTTTAAATTCAAGAAACAACGTGTGACACAAATTTAAGATTTTATTAAAATCACTTGTAAATTGACATAATATCTCAGTGGTGAAGGAAAACTTTGAACAAAGCAAAAATAATGAGTTGTGTGAATTAACAGAAGGGTGAACAGTGTTAAGTGTGGCATTTAAATGATTACATGATTTTAATTATTCTTTTCATAATAAGCAACTCTGTGAACATCTATTCAAGAAGTTGAAAGCTGTGCCTCGTATGGAACTTGCAGCTGAATTAAGGCTTTGTTTCCTGCCTTCGGCAATTTTAAGAAAACAAATAGAAATGGTTCGAAGAACTTATAAAAAATCCACCACCTACCGAAAGAATTTAAGGTAAGGTGGTAGGCATTAGAGAGAGAAAAACAGACACAGAGTGTTCATTTGTGAGGCAGAAAAGAGAGAACAGACGTAATGATGAAAGAAGTGACCGGAAGTGCAGCTCAGGCCGACCCCTTATTTATTCTTGGCTGTCAGGGGTTTCCGGCTGATCTTTTTCGATTTGTCATTATTTTTCTTTGGCGGTTCTGGGTTTGCCTGCATGTGTCTGCCGTAGAGGCTGAAAAGAGAGAGAAGGGAAACTGTGAGATCCACCTTGTGAACACAAGATACGCTTCTACTGGCAGAGTTTTCATCAACAGATTCAGCTCCAGGCATACTGAGGGAGGCTATGAACACCACAAGGGCATTTTTGTTTCCTCTGGTCATATGCTGGATTTACACATGTGCACGCACGCACACACACACACACACACACACACTCTCTCTCCTACTCACTCCACCATGCCATGAAGTTCAATTCTGGACCAGTCTCTTGGAATCGAACACTCTCTGGGCTAAGGAAGAGAGACCCAGGGCTATGAAAAACATGAGGCTCAGCCTGGCTGCTCCAGACCGAAGCTCCACAGGCCGTGAGTGTTGGAACTGATGGTGATCAAAACTGAGCTGAGCTGAAAAGACAGGGTGTCACCTTAGTGCAAAGTGAGCAGTGCGCCGGCCCAAGAGCTCCAGGGCTGGGTGACGCGGCAGAGAGCGATGGGGTCCGAGCCTGCGTGAGCTGCTCACTCGTGATGGATGGCGCTGGGGTGGCGACCACCCATCAATGCCACGTTAATAAGCACCGCTGATTAAATGTTGACGAAGTACCCTACAATCACAGCCACGGCATCCATCGCAGAGCAGAGCTGGCTCTGTGGCTGAGGGGATTGAACCTGATAGCAGATAGTAATTAATCGGTAATTTATGAGTCGTTCTGATTAAACCAAATTAAAAGCCACCCGAAAGTGAAAACAGCTCAACCTTAACTCCCCTTGTTGCTATAACTGTGTCCCCGAGAGAGGCCAGTGGGTGTCTCAGTGCTTCCCTAAGAGACGCAATACCTGACCCCACACTGAACAGGCTGGACACAAACACTGACCTTCCTGTACAAGGCGCCCCGTTTTCTAGGATCCACGTGGGTGATCCACACCCTCTCCTGCACTTGGCATACACTCATGCTCCCGAAGACACTGATGCTGTGGTTGATGGGCTAAGGGACAGACCTGGTGCCCAGAGTTGTCCAGTTGACGGGGTGCTTAGGGAAACTTGGACTCTAGGTTTTGACAGGTCATACTGTAGTCTGCTTCTCCAGAGGCTTCCGAGCATCTCCTCAGAAGCAGGATCTACCAACAGTGGTCATGAACTTGGGTCTCTGTTCCCAAGGAGTATAGAATACAGAGAGTGGCGGCAGACAGACCTACAAGCTGAAGAATGTTAAGTCCAGCCAGGTGCTGGGAACGTTCTCCAGGTAAGGGGGAGCATCAAGGAGGAACTACATGTCCTTGACATGTCATTTCAGAGCCTGTAAGTTAGCATTTAACTCCTGCAGAAGTTCCCTTAGAGCAGGAGTCCCCAACCTCTCAGATCTCATATCTGATGATCTGAGATGGAGCGGCTGTAGTAATAATAATGTGTACCATAAACATAACATGCTTGAATCATCTACCAACCACCATTCCCCTCACCCCACTGTCCGTGCCAAAACTGTCTTCCATGAAACCGATCCCTGGTGCCAAAAAGGTTGGAGACTGCTGACAGAAGACTCTGAATGGGGTCTAACTGAATGGAGAGGTAGGCCCAGTCCTGCCCGGCGTCCACAGCAGAAACATCCCCAAGAGAACCTGCCATCCAGGAAAATGGATTTTTAAACCTACACATGCCCCCTCCCTACACTTTTTAAGAAAACTGGAGTATCATTGCTTTACATACTGCATTAGTTTTTGCTGTGTGGCAAAGTGAATCAGCTCCACATACAAATGTCCCCCTTCTTGGGTTTCTTTCCCACCTAGGCCACCACAGAGCAGAGTCGAGTCCCCTGCATTATACAACAGGTTCCCACTAGCTAGCTATTTTACACATGGTCATGTATGTCAATCCTAATCTCCCAATTCTTCCCACCCTCCCTTCCCCATGTGGTGTCCATATGTTTGCTCACTGCATCTGTGTCTCTATTTCTGCTTTGCAAATAGGTTCATTTGTACTATTTTTTTAGATTCCACATACACGCATTACCCCTACACTTTAAAAGGGGAAGCCGGTTCCTGTCAAAGTCTATGTTGTGAACACCTGGCAATCCTGGATCCAGGCAAAGAAACATTGGTTTAGGCAGAAAGGAAGGTTCAGCCAATCTGGCCTTACCACTGTTACCAGTCCCACTCCCAATGATGTCCCTGTCCATCCCCCAGAACTTGCTGCTGTCACCTTACATGACCAAAGGACTCTGCAGAGGAAATGAGGTTAAGGACCTTGAGGTGGAAAGATGATCTTGCATTTTCTAGGGGGTTCCGACCTGTGCACCCCTTCCCCCACCCTGCCAGCACATCTCCTGGATGCACCAGAGCAGGGAGAGCAAACTGAGCCAAAGGAGAGCTGTGCGTTCCATTCTTGACCTGTATGAGACAAGCTGATCCTCCCATAGCGTCTGCCCCCTCCTCCTCCTCCCAGGATGCTGCTTTCCTAAAGATCAGCGGCTTAGTGCTACAGCGCGGTGCGCACAAGGGGGCCTGGGGGGTGGGGCTCTGGTCTCCAAGCTCCTCCCACCTGGCACGAAGCCAAGTCTGACCATTCTGAGCATCCACAAAGGCATCTATGGTCGCAGCATCTTCCACTGTAATCGCTTTCTCACAGCTTCAGGGTCTCTCCTCTACTTTCCAATCTCTTGTCCCTATACTCATTCTTGCTCGCAGATAACATCCAACTTTAAGGATCACAAAAATCTGTAGATACACAACTCCCTTGTTTGTGAATTTGGAAACCTGGCAAGACTCAGGGGCTGGGAAAGTGGTATCAACAGAAATAAAGAGGTCAGAGGAGGCAGAAGAGATGAAAGACTCAATGAGGGCCTGCTATGCACCACATCCTGAGCACACAGGCATGGAAGGCTTCCTGGAAGGAGAGGCAGTGTTGCCGGGCCCTGACAGTGGTCATGAAGCAAAGTCATTTCAGCAGATGTGCCAAAGCTGCTTGGGGTTCAGCAAGGCTCCTCTATGCAGGAAGGAACTAGAATGTTCCAATCTTTCATCGCCTGCCTTTTTAGACTCAGACCCCACTGTGTGCCTGGCCTTCCTGGGGCTACACAGCAAGCCACTCACTACAAAGGGTCAGAAGGGAGAGTGAAAAGTCTGTTTGCCACTTATGAGCTGTCAGTTCTAGGCACATTATTAGCAAGCCTCATCCCCACCGTGCCTTCGTTTCTTCATCTGTAAAAGAAAAAATGATGTTGTTTTCTCATAGGGTGGCCGTAATGCTGAGGTAAGCCAGGCACCAGGGCATGACATGGGGTTAGAGTGATTAAATAAAGATAATCATATGATTACTTCTCCAGGGTTTTTTCCCTGAAAAATAACATGGTATTTTCTACTGACACCAAATCGCCAAGCATATATGGAAGAAAGGTTTGGATCCTCTTTGAAGATAGCGACTCAGGCTAAAGGCACTGTCCCACTTCCTCCATGAGTCACCAGCAGATGACTCTGCCCTGCTCTGCGGGATCCTCTCACTCCTCTAGCTGTGTGCCAGAAGACAGCCGCATTTCACTTTCATCTGCAGACTGGATCCATCAGAGCAGTCATTCCCACCTGGAGATGAGGCTCTGGCCGGGCAGGAAGGACGAGCATCTCAGGGTCCCAAGTCTTGGATTCCCTCAGCTGTCAGTATTAGCCCTGGGGCCTCCATTCAGTAAGTGCAGGGGGCAGAATAATGGCCCCTCAAAATGTCCACATTCTGATCTCAGAGACCTTGGGGTCTGTAACCTTTTATTGCTAAAGGGACTGTGCAGAGCTGATTAAGGACTTGAAAAAATGTTTTATTGGAGTTGCTTTAGAATGTTGTGTTAGTTTCTGCTGTATAGCAAACCCAATCAGTCACATGTATACATATATTCCCTCCTTGTTTTTGGATTTCCTTCCCATTTAGGTCGCCACAGAGCACTCAGCAGAGCTCCCTGGGCTAAGCAGTAGGTTCTCATCAGCTGTCTATTTTATACGTATCAACAGTGTGGGTCAGTCCCAATCTCCAGTTCATCCCATCTTTTCTTCCCCCTTTGCTATCCACGTTTGTTCTCTACAGATTTGTCTCTATTTTTGCTTTGCAAACAGGTTCATAGATGGAGAGATGATCCTGGATTATCTGGGTGGGCCCAACATAATCACAGGGGTCCTCTTAAGAGGGGAGATGGGGGTGCTGGAGGGCCAGAGTCAGGGATGCTCAGATGCTGGCTTTGATGATGGAGGAAGGGACTGCCAGTTGTGGACTGCAGGCAGATTCTAGACCCTAGAAAGGCAAGGAAACAGATTCTTGCCTAGAGCCTCCAAAAGATGAAACCCTGCTGACACCTAACTTTCAGACTTCTGACTCCCAGAACTGTGAGATAATATACTTGTTCTGTTTTTGGCTACTAGGTTGGTGCTGATGTTTAGTGGCTAAGTCATGTCTGACTCTTTTGCAATCCCATGTACTATAGCCTGCCAGGCTTCTCTGTCCACGAAATTTCCCAGGCAAGAACACTGAAGTAGGTTGCCATTTCCTCCTCGAGGGGATCTTCCAGACCCAGGGGTCGAACCCATGCCTCTTGTGTTGGCAGGTGGATTCTTTACCACTGAGTCACCAGCGAAGCCCTTTTTGGCCACTAAGATCATCTTAATTTGTTATCAGCAGCAACAGGGAACCAATATAGTAACTGAATCTCTCTGGGGCTGTCTGTGAAGGATTTTGCTTAGTTTTAGCAGAAGAAATTTTCTTCTGGGGTAGCAACTCACTGACAAAGAAAGAAAGTTAAAAATGAAGTTGCAGAAAGGCCACAGAAGGAGAGTCTCCGAGGAAAAATGTGTGCTGTCTATAAGAAGAGGAGGAGGTAGGCAGGCCAACTACCCCTCTCTGCTACAGTGACACACGATGGGCCTGGATCCCTCTGTGTGCTGAAGCTGATAGTCATGGTCCATGTTTGAAATGCATCCAGAGTTTAATTTATAGAGGGGACAGTGACAAGATGGGCAGGTCTATGCCTTGGAAAGAAGTTGTATC